AGAATGATATTCGTTTGTTGCAAAATATAAAATTTTCTTTTACAAACTACTGAATAAAAAATATAAAATTTTTCGGTGAAATAACCATGTCGGTAAAATGATCAAGTGTCGGTTAAATGATTGTCGGTTAAATAATTGTCGGTTAATTAAACCAGACCCATTTTTTATGATGAAATTCTAAATATTATGGAAATTATTATAAAAAAAATTTGATTGTATTATTGTGAAATTCAATTTTGAACGAACGCACGTAAGCTATTAACGTTAAATTGATGTTAAATATTGTATAATATTGGTCAGCATGATCTTATAGGGCCGTGCGATAATATGTAATATCTGTTACTCAACCAATCATCCCATTTACTAATTAGTTTCTATACATTTAAAAGTATGCATTCAATTCCTAGTTTTCCAATTCTGATTACTTTTCATAAGTAAAAAGATGTTTTAGTAACGATTATTCCATTTGATGAAGATCTATACAAGAAATTAAAGCATTTGAAACATTTTAGGGTTAGAACGTTAGATTAAGTATAAGGTTTGAGTTAGGGTTAGGGTTAAGGTTAGAGTTAATTCTAATTTAGTCTGAGTTATTTGCAACCATTGCATTTGGCTGTTAATTCATTGTTTCTGTAATGGTACTTTTTTGGAACTTTAAAAATGTTTGATTCTTTCCACTTTCCATATCCTGATTTGTTTAAGGTAGAAAAAAGAGGTTTACGATCAACAACTTCGCAAAAATTATATTTTTAGTTGCCAAATTTGGTCTAAAATAAATAAATATACATCTAAAATAAATAATGGTTAATCGGCATTGTTTTTTTTTGTAAAAAAAAAAATAATATTAATTCATACGAGAAAATCAAGAGAAAAAGGCTTTGGCCGGATACGGTGCACTAATCAGAGATTATCAAACGTTACACGTAAAAATAAGTTTAGAAATTTCATAAAGCGAGTCAAAACGGGGGCAGTTTCTTTGTAGTTTCGCATGATACATATCCCATGCATGTCCCAAAAGGTTACGCCACAATAAATATTCTTTGAAGAAATGGTGGTGGTGGGTTTTTTTTTTTTTTTAAAAAAAAAGGATTTTCTTAAAAGAATATTTTGTTTGTTTTTTTTTTTTTAAAAAAAGAAAACTTCCAAATTTTTTTAAGAATGAAAAAAAAATATTAATAAATTTAGATGTTGAAAGAATGAATATTTCTTAGAACATCATAACCAAATTTAATTCTTTTAAAGTTCGCAATGACATAAATCACACTAATCACACTTATGACTCCTTTACCTAAAATGTTAATTTAATAATTTACATAATCACATTTTTTTTTGTAGTTTTTTCTAATTAGAATTTTAGGTCAACTTTGATTATTAAAAACATTAATATTTAATAGTTATTAAACAATCAATCGGCTTTTATCATTTCTTCGAAATTTTCGATGGAACATGTAATCAAAAGTGGACTAGGTCCCGTATTTTTTTGAAAAATATTTAATCTCGCAAATTTTTCAAAAATTTTTTTTTTTTTTTTGCAACAAAAGCAACAACAAAATAAAAATAAAAATAAAACTTTTATGATAAAAATACACTCCTTTTATATTTGAATTTTTATAAACGTGATAATGACTACGTTACAACCAAGACGAGGACCCTGGTTACCTCAAGTATATATTAAATTTTTTTTACATTCTAATTCACTTTATAATCAATTCTTCACTTTTACAGGAAGAAGATGACCTTATTTCGTATTTTAATGACATTGGCGCTAAATGGTTCGAAATTTCATCAAGGCTTATGACTAGAAGCGCTCAGCAATGTAGAAAAAGGTTTTTATCATATTATTTTTTTTTATTTTATTGTCAAAAAAAAGCGATTATGACGAACAGTTTTTCTTCTTTTTACATTTACGCGAAACTAATTTTTCTTAGATATCAAGAACTTATAACAGCAAATGGTAATTAAAAAAATTTTATAAAAAATTTATTAAACATTTTGATAAACTTGCTTGACGAACGCAATTCTTATTTTGCATCTGTGCAACTTCCGCTACAAGTTGTTCGAGTTTGAAGAGTCGTATGATTTTAATTCACTAACCGAATATAAATTATCTGAACTCAACAATTCATTCCTTTTTAACTTAATATCTAATCTTAATTTTAATCATCATTATCTCAAACACATTCTTTACAAGCCTATCTTCATTCTTTTATCATTTCAATTAACCACAATAGACTTTCTTTTAATCATTTATTTTTGATAATGCTTTGTATTTTTTTTGTTATTTTATATACAAGACAAGTAGAGTCTTTGCAAGCTATTTAAATAAAAATTATACTCTTTTGACAGAAATTCATGTAAGTCATCCTTGTGAAAATATAAAATATGCCCTGATCGCAATCTTTTTTCCGTTACCCGTGACGATGTTATTTTATTTTATTTTATTTTTTTTATACATCATACCGGACCAATATTTCATTCGCTATTTTGTTGTCATAAAAGGTTGCCACAGTGTTTTTTTTATTCGATTGTTTGGTAAATGGGTTGAAAGAATCTCTCCAATTGTAAAGAGTAGTAATTAAATATGACTTTATAATGTTACATATTTACCATTACAAATACTTGTTTTTAACTTTAATACTTTACCAAAAAAAAAAAAATGTCTAATGAATTGATATTATCAACCAATCAAAAATCCTAATATTGATTTACTCGCATCATTGTTCCCATTGTTCTGTACAATATAACTGACAATCCAAAACCAGTAAAAAGGAAGCCAATAATTCTTTGTATTACCTTCCACTGCTTGCAAACTTCCTTTCAATATGACATCACATACTGCACTAAACGTTGAATTACCTGCATTAAATGTTACTTACCATAATTACTCTTATATAATTGATAGTTTGTCCTTTTCAAAGGAAAAAAAAAATTTGTTGACAATTTTATCATAATTATGAAAAAAAAAAATTTAAAATCAATCGAATAAGAAGTATAACAAAGAAATTTGGTCCCGGTCGGTGGGTTATTTGCATAATATTGCTTTCTTTATGATAATTGATTGGGAACAAAAGAGGGCGAAATCATATTCAGTTAGTTTTGTTCTAAAAATAAAAAATAATTACAGAAAAAACTGAAATTGGAAATGATTTGAAAGAAGCATATGTCATTACTGCGCAACAAGAAATGGTTTATAAAACCGAGATATCGTTTTTTCTGATTTTAAAAGATGCCCACTTCTCAAGACATAATTATAAAGGGACCATGGAACATCTCTGTAAGTATCTAGCACACGCACATATCATTGAATGGTGATGTTCTAATTAATCTATTTCCTTTTCCTCCCGTTGTATTTTTAAGATGCCATTCTTACTCTTTTTTTTATTATTTTTTTTTTTTTGGTAGGAGGACAGAACCCTTCGTCATCTTGTAAACCAATATAAAATTAGCAATGTAAATGAGCAGATCTCGTGGGTGCTTATTGCTAACGATATGACAACCCGTACAGCAAAACAATGCAGAGAACGGTTTGTTGATTCAATTCTTTATTTATTTATATTGAAACATAAACCTCATGATTTCTTTCTTCTCTCATTGTTAGATGGATAAATCATTTAGATGATTTAAGTAAGCACACTACATATGTATATTCCCCCTTCCCTTTTTTATACTGACTACACAATGCAATGCATACAATATATTATTATTATTATAATAATTTTATTTATTTATTACTTTTTTTAATTAGTCAATAAGTCACCCCTAACCGAAAGTGAACAACAATTTATAAAAATGCATCGTTCCGGGCTAACTTATGCCAAAGTCGCAGAAATGTTACCAGGACGTACTCCATTAATGGTGAAAAATTTTATTTACGGAAATAAGAATAAATTTAGAAATCAAAGGTCCGCCTTAAGAATTCGTGAAAAAATGGCCGTATCCAACTTATTAAATTCATAAAGTTCGAAATATCGGGGATAGCGCGAAAAAAAAATTTTTTTATTTATTTATTTTATATTTTTTTTCCTCTGATTCACGTGAAAATATATTTTTAGTCCCCGACATTATGTACGTTTTTTTATTGCGAATTTTTTTGTAGTTTACTTTCTTGATGGATCATTTTTTTTTTTTTAAAAAAAAAAAATATATTAGCAATAATTATAATATTTGTTATATATACGGTATCTATAACTTCATTAAACCGATACTTTCATATTTACAGAATCCCATTCTAAAATAAATAAATATAATTTTTAAAAAATGAATACTAATAATTTCAAAGATTATTTCATTCAAATTTCAAATGCCCAATTTTTAATAATGTAAATTTTTTTTTTTTAAAAAAAAAAAGGTAACCATTTATAAAAAAGAAACATCAGGATCACTTCTATTCTTGAGACCTCATCGTAAAACTTACCTCGTTATTAACGATTTGGGCATTATTAATCCTTAAATAAATGGGTCGTTTTTGCTACTAAAATCGTATCACGAGATCTGATAAATCATATGGGCGTTTATGCAGTAGGGAGGAAACTCTAAAAAAAATTTTTATGTTAATGTTAAATCTGGACTTATTTTCATATTTATCATATAAAGTAAATTTTTATTTGTTTTTTTTTGTAGTTCATCCCTTTCTACTGCAAAATGCAATATGATCCAAACGTTAATTTTAATTCAAATGCCTAAAATTATAAGGACACATCAATAATATTATTCAATCATGCAAGTACCTTTTATTTAATAAGCAAATCAGACTTCTCTGAAAAGCGAGATCATAAGGAAAATCCATATTGTATGTATGTAAATTTACTTTATTCTCAACATTTAGATCACGCGGTATGAATTGGCGTTCTTTCGACGCGTCGATTGAAAGTATTTTTATTTTTTTTTTAAAAAAAAAAGAAAGCTATAAAAATTTCGAAAATGAATTTACATCCTTGACTCTAACATCGTACATAAAATGATTAAAAGAAAAGGAAATTTTTTCGAATAAAATTATAATGAGCTGATTTTAAATGTCCGACAGAATATTGAAGATATTTAAAATCATGGAAAGTAGGTTCAAATATACCATTTTTGTCTATATTAATGCTAGCAAGTTTAATCGAAACATCAAACAAATCTGCTTCGTAGATCATCAACAGTTTTTTCAACTTATACAAGTAAATGGCAGTATCATGTAAATGAGACAAAACCTTTTTAATAGATCGAACATCTTCCCTGGCATTAATTGAATCAAGTACATTTACCGAAGGATATCCAAAATCATGTTTTAGAACGAACTTTTCCGCATCTCTTAATCCAATAAAAAGAGAAGCTTCAAGTTTATTCCTATGATGTTCCACCAAATTAATGGAAGAGTTAGTTGGTTTAAATAATGGTCGAAATTTTTGAAATTCGATCTTTAAGAAAGTTATCTTATCATATAAATATTTTCTATCTTCTCTCTTAAAAGATGAATCCGAAAGAATTCGATTCCTCATTGAATTGATTTCTTCATCAAACGTTGCAAACATATGTATCCCATTATGATACAAATTATTTAAATTTAAACTCGCGTCCAATAATCGATCAGAAAAATATCGTAAATCCTTTGATATATGAGTGTGTGATTTTAATGCTGGACTTGTCTCAACTATGTTGGCCACTCGACGGTAAGTTGCGATATTATCCAATACCTTTTTCAAATCTAAACATGTTTGAGAGAGTAACAAAAGCAAATAATTTTGTTCATTCATTCTTTTTTTTTTAAAATAAGGAACCTTTTAAAAAGACAAGTTTCATATCATATTTGCCTGGAATTTCATCAATAAAGTTACATGTGGTTGTATAAATGAATTTCTTATTTGAGTAATTCATTGTAAGAATCTACAAGCACGTAATTCAAGTAAGAAAATTGAGAAAGGGAGAAGGTGAGAAATGCGCGTGAAAAAGAAAATTTACACTTACTATACAAGAAATAAAAAAAATGAAAAAGAATATTTTAAATCCATGTTGATATAATAATATCTCCCGGAAAAATTTTTGGTAATGGCTAATAATTCTTGTTTCATCATTTTCAAATTTTTCCTGATGAGTTCTACTTTCTCTATTCTGGTTTTCTAAATCGGCCATTTCATCATTTCCGGAATTATCAGAACTTATATTATTTTCCTGATGTCTTCTTCTAATCTGGTTGTTTAATTCAGACATGGTTTATTTTATTTTATTTTATTTTTTTTTTTTAAAAAAAGAGATGGAAATTTTTTTTATTGTTATTTTTATTTATAAAGGGAAAAAATGAACATGTAAATGATTTTTTTGGGGGAACATTTTTTTAAGAAAGAAAAGATCGTCGGATTATATAATTTGTGTTGAAATTTTCGATATCCTAATCATTCTTAGTACCCAACGTCATAATAACATTTTAAAAAGGTTATTGTTATCTCTATTCAAATGCCATGGGAAAAGACGAGTATTTTTAAAATTTATTCCAATAATAAATATTAAATCGAGTTTTTAGTATTATACAGAACATTAGAGAACGTATAGTATAACCTTTTTTATTCCAGTAAAGAAAATGAAGAAAAAAAACGAATATATACAATGTGAATAAAAAGAATTCCGAGTTACATCAACTTATTTATATATTTGTAAAAAATTTTAACAATTTATCAATAATATAAATGCGCTAATTGGAGATTCTAGCTTTCTTATTAAAGCTATGATGATAACCTTTTAACTGATTAACAGCAGTACTTAAATAATTAAGATCCTTCTTCGTGACGTCAAATATGCCAAAGTCATCATCTTTACCAGGTTTATCAAGACTAGACGCAAGGTCTAAAATTCTATCCTCATAAGCCTCTAAAATTTCTCTCATTTTCATTAAATTACCAGCAGTATATTTTAAATGAATCAAAACTTCATTAACCGCCTCAAGTTCTTTATGAGCTCTAGCAATATCAACACTATGTTCACGGCTTTTAGTAACAAATTTTTCGGCTTCTCTCATTCCGGTTATGATATAACCTTCAGTGGAATGTCTAGAATCTTCAGCGTTTTTAACAGCCATTAGGGTTTTATCAACTACATTCCTATATTCTCCTACCTTTATGATTAAATTATTCAACCTGTCCTTAAAATATCTAGAATCACCTTGTCGTGCATTTAAATTTAATCGTTGCATCATCGCATCAATTTCTATATCAAATGATTCATATAACGACGAACCTTTGCTATACATGTTTCTTAATTCTCGACCGGCAAAAACTATTTTCTCTCCAAAGCTAATAAGGCCTGATGATATTTGGACACCATATTTTGTAAATGCCGGACTACTTCGAATCATATTCGCAGCTCTACGGCATGCTACAACATGGTCCATAACTTTGTTTGTGGCTGTTTGATCAAGTTAAAGTTAATGTGGTATATATATTTTTTCATTTGGATGAACGCGTCAAATAAATTAATTACCTGGAAGATGGACACGGTCAATGTCACGAGAGATCCCGGTTATCGTTTCAGAAAGTTTCCTGAAAAAACCTGAAGAATCGTCTGGACCAGGTACCTTTTATAAAGAATATAGGTTTAAAAAGGGCTCATCGAAAATATCATCAACATGTACTAAATTATACTTACGAGCGCAAGTGCGATTAATAAAATAATAATACCGATATACCAATATTTGTATTTATTATAATCATTAAGAAACGTTTCTAGTCCCACAGACATTTTTTTAGGCTTAAAGGAAACAATGAATGTGTGAAAAGATGCTGCGCCACGAAAGATCATTTAAAGCGAATCCATTTACATACTTTAGTTTCATTTGTAACGGTACTATGACTTTCGTTGGATTGAGATTCATTCTAAAGGAAATAAAAATGTGCGAATAAATACCGCGTAAAAAAAATCATGGTGATGAATTTCTAAAAGATTTGTTCGTTATTGCATACATTGTCGCTTACAGGTTTAGAAAGTACATACTTCTAATAATAATAAAAATAAATAAAGGATTCGCAATTCGAAGAGTGATTCTATTCTTTTACGAATGGTTAACAAACCTTTTTATAATTCTTTTCAGTAGAAACTTGGTTAACTAATTCATTCGTCATATTTACTTGGGAAAAAAATTATATATATATTTTTTTTTTTGAAGGGGGAAGGGGGATTTTCAATGATTTTTAATAAAAAATATGGTACGATAACTCGATATGGAAATGAAAGAAGAAAAGCGTCATCCCATAAAATTTTCTCACAAAAGTTTGTATTTTCGTCAATTATTGGTCATCATACAAAGGCATATCGAAAGCTTAACCTTAAATGCGTGGAATAGCGTGTGATTTGGTTTTTTCACTTGAGAATTTTTAATAAATTGCTATTGCATACATGATTAGTCCGGAGCGTAAACGAAGGACTATTATGGTCTAGCAACGTTAATGAAAAATGTCAAAAATTGGGTCGATACGATTGGTTACTTTCGTTACACTCGTGCTCCGGACTCAAACAACGGTTCCCGTCTAGTATATTTAAATTTTTCAAATCCGGAAATATCTATTTTGCATAAACAATAACATGAAGTACTTATAAATTTGCTGAATGCATATTATTTCATTTTGCATTGCTATTGCCATTATTATCAATAAATGCAAATGCGGGTCAACCAACAAATTTCGTTCAAGCCTATGAATCAGGGACGTATTGTTAGACAAAAAAGGGGTGTAAATATTTTATCGGAATCATGTGACATATTGTTTATAATTAATTATTCGATTAATGGGTTTTTGAGTTTCTAAAATCGGTAATTCTAAATAGTTTATTATTATATTTATTATGCAGAGTAAACGTCATAGTAACTAAAATTCAATTGGATAGTCCAATTAACCAACACTGACTGACAATGTTTTAGTCGCTGCTAATTTTCTTCACAAACAGGCAAAATAGAACGAAGATCGGGGGTGTTCAATTATTTCACTTAATAACTTGAACCTATAAATACAATGTATTTATACAGGATTGTCATGCATTATTCTTCATTGATCTAAACAAAAAAAAATCAAATTGTTACAATCTTTCAACAAAATCTCCCGAAGCAGTATAATTTGTTGCACAAAGTGTTATTGATTGTGGTGCAAATTCTTGCACTTCTTTGGGTAAATATTGTATTTTTTAATTGATTATACATTTGACCGACTTATGGGCTGTTGGAAATTGCCCCAATTTTTTTTTTTTTTTTGAAATTTTAAAAATTTCATGATGATGTTAATAGAAAATGTAATTTTTTTTTTTAAAAAAAAAAATTCCTTTTTGTTCTTTCAAGTCAAATACCATCTGATATTTTATCATGCAATAGAAATAAAAAATCTATGATGTATCGATAAGAATGCTTTATAAAAAAGGTTAAAAAGATTTTACACAATCAAAAAAGCTTATTTTTTTCCATTGGATGTAATAAAATGTGGTTATTATTATTGTTTTAACTATTGTTTTTTGATAACAATGATTTCAAATGTGATATAAATTGTTGTTTATATATTGTGTTGAACCAAAAAAATAAAAATGGAAACTATGATTAGTTTTTTTTTGTGAAAATTTTTTATATAAATTGATCCGATCTTCAAATGGATTTTTTTGTTTTTCAATTAATTATTTCCTTGAATATTTATTTATCTTTCTATATATATTTTTATTTTTTAACGTCTTATTTTTCACGAATCTCTCTTTTTTCCCAAAAAGCTTTGCAAATATTAACCATGGATCAACTTTCAAACATGAATGTTATCATCATCTCGTCTCAACAAATCAACCCTTCCTTTATCCTCCCGAATTCAACAAATTTACAAAATCATCAAACTCAAATCTCTTCACTTCCAAACGCATCCTTACTTCTAAATTCCTTTGTACTTTCTTCAACATTACTGTTAACAACTTATGTTTTCTTTGTAAAGAATAACTTTCTCAAGAATAAACAACAAAGGGCATGGATTCTAACGTATACTACGTCAATAATCATGTCAATAGGATCAATTCCATTCGTATTTCAATTGATTTTTAGTGCTAATTGGAATGTCAACGATCTTCCCAAAGAATCAAATTTATCTATAGTCTTGGTTGGATTCTTTATGACCTATTGTATATTAGATTTATTGATTGGAAGAGCCTTTTATAAACATGAAATTAGTAATGTTACGAGTATGAAAGGTTATTTACATCATTTGATTCATCTTGCAATATCAGTTTTTGTCATTTATAAACAAAGAACTGAAATATTTTGTTTAATGTCAATTTTTGAGGTATATATAATTCCTTTTCCGATCTCTCTCTTTTTTAAAAAATTTACCTCGTAAAACTAACCACTTTCAAAAAAATTGTTTATTAGGTTTCAACTCTTGTCCTGGCGACAGAGAAATTCAACAACAAATCACTTAAACAAGAAATTTTATATTTGACATCCTTCATTTCAACGAGATTATTATTTCACGCAATGATGATTCATCTATATTATAATTATCATCAATCAAAATCGACTTGGTTAATATTAGCTTTACTTTATCCTCTTCAATGTTATTGGTTTTATGGTTATATTAAACAACAGATTAATATGAGGAATCAACGCAAAAAGCGTTCTCAACTTAATAATATTCTTTATAACAATCAAGAATTAGAAATTGTTTTAAATTCTCTTATGATGTGATGAATATCTTGTGAAAGAAGAAAATCGATTAATTAATGTGTGATGCATGCAAAAGTAATTACTTTTTTTTTAAAAAAAAAAAAAAAAACAAAGTTTTATCAAAACTTTGGTTATATCTCTAATACTTTCAATAATTTTTCTCTTGGTCTTTTTTTTTCAAGAAATGATTATATAGAGATTTAATGTATATATCATTTATTCTGGTTGTTGTAAATTTTTATTATTTTTTTTATCTGTATATTAAATTATTCTTTACCGTGTTTTAAAAATAAAACCTATTATGTTTTGAAGTGATATCTTTTTTTGCGAACGTTATGATTCTGTGGATCAATAAGAATCGCTCTGGTTTATTTATAAGCATAGCGGACGATAAACTGCCGGGAAAAATAAAAAAATGAGTTAATGTTTAAATCTGAACATACAGTGGCGCTCAAAAGATTTGCATCACTTAAATAAAAATGTTAAAATAAAAATAATTTTTAATATAACGCACGAAAACTTATGTAAAAAGGCTCATTTTATTCGTAAAATCCGGCAAAATACATAATAAAAACTTTATTTTATAATTTATAAAAAAAATTGTAAAAATTTACATCAATCTATATGATGCGTTACTTATGATCGTTTGTAACTATATATAAATAAAAACAAAATCATCAAACAACTAATGATTTAAAATTTAAAAAAACTTTCCAACTTAT